CTCAGGTGATAGTCGGCGTGGACGGCATGACACAGGTGAGCCATTCGTCCATATGTGGTGCGTGACTTGAGCTGCCAAATGCAGTGCTACTTTCATTGGCTGAACGAGCTTGGGATACTGAGAAAAGAGATTAGCGTAGTCTGGCGAGGTCTGGGGAAATGCATAGACCGGAGATATAGATGTGACATCGGCGGTGCTGCCAGGCACACTGAGTTTTGTTACAGCGTCGACTATCATTTGGTGTTTCCAAGCGACCAAGAGGTCGAAATGCCTGAGAAAGTCAATGCTGAGGATGGCAAAGAGGACTGCAGCGACGGTGAATACCCAGCGGAACGTGCGCCGAAGACCTAGGTCCAGGGTAAGCGACCGATGACCGTAGGTGGCTATTGGTGTGCCATTGGCGGTACTGAGGCTTGTCGACAGAGAAGCGGTAGGCTCACCTGGCATGGGGGGAATGACGCTGACTTCCGTCCCCGGTATCAACTAAGAACTGGGTATCGGAGTCATAATCCATAATGTAGATGAGACGATTTGAGCTTTGCCGCCATTGCGGGCCAGCCTGGAAGTTTCCCCCCGCTTGGCGGCGGAGAAACTGCATGGTTGCTGGCACTTTCTGGCTTTGTTACAGAAAAGCGTGTGGTAAAAGCAAAAGCCTGAAGTGTTAAGCTTCGTGCGGCGAGTTGATGAGTTAGGGGCGGCTGCGCTGCTTACGAGCTAGGGAGAATTTCTCGACTTGGCGTTGTAATGACGCTATTTGCGATGATAAAGCGTCGATTGCCGACGGCTCATTAGTCGCGTATGTCGCCGTGGCTGTGACGGGGCTAAGTCGAGTGAACGTCCTAGATTCGTTCGCTGGTTAATGTCATTCGATGACACGGTCTGCTAGTTCTGCAATTGCTGCGAGAGGCAGGGCGCTTGCCACGGCAAGGATGGCTTGTTTGCTTTCCGGGAGACATTGCATCCACATTTCGCGGAGAATACCTTCGTCCATGCTGGATGTGCCTAGGAGCTGTTGCATTTGTCACAACAAGGCTGAAGGCATCCTGTCCCCTAGCTGCAGATCCCTAAACCGTTGCTGCAGGACGGCCCGTGTCAGAAGGCGTGATTCGCTGAATTATAGCCTGTTTAAGAGC